CCTAAATTTCGAGGTGTAGAAAATATATTTAACAGATTGTACATATTCTATATCTTATATAGGTAAGTAACACAAAAGAAGTGAAATGGTATTCATTTTTAACTTTTTTTTAATTACCCGTTTATCCCCAAAGTGAACTAACCCGATTCTTTACACCTTCATGAAAAGGTAGAAATGGTTCGATGAAAGATATGTCTGGCCCTTCGACAGTCAGGGAATCAGATTTCATTTATGTTCAACGTTCAACTTTAAATATCTTTGAGAAAAGAATGTTAATATAAACACCATTAGACGATCTTATTTAAAAAAGGTTTTCTTATTTCTGTCTTTTGTATAAGTTTAATTTGACTCAAGTGTGCATGGGAAACACAGTGGTTACGTTTGTGAAATACGGATAAATTCGAAATACTGCTCTAAATATAGTTATGTATACAGTACATCTGCAACAGTACACCTGTCTAAGAATCATAAAAGGCGGGCCACTATTCATAATCTGATGACAAACACCACGAGTAAATATTCGTGCCTATCCTTTGGACTGATCTATCAAATAGGTGTGATAGTTTCAATGAAATTAAATATTGAATTAAACAATTTCTAATTGCCTTTATTTTATTTTGACGTTAAGAACATTGCACACACATATCTAGCCCAATTCACTAAAGCAGTGAAACGGAAATTAACTTTGAAGATTGTCACTGAATTGCAGCTTACTCATAGGTGAAAGTCCACGTAGTTTTTTTACTTTTCATATATCATTGAGTCAAACGCTCAGCTGCCTCCATAAACCCCTACTCGCGAAATGGCGGAGTTGACAGAGACAGCCGCCATCTTGGGTCCGCTTCAGATTTTCAAATTTTAATATCTAGAGTTCTGATTAACCAATATCCAAACAACATACATAGTAAGCATCAATCAAAAGGTCTCTATTATAATTCCAAAAATTAATAAAAAATGTTGAAAAACAAACAAGAGGCCCAGGGGCCACAGGGCTCACCTGAGCACATCGGCTAGGAAAAAGCACATATCAGATCAGAACTGAGGTGATGGTGGACTGGGAGAAGGGGGGGAGCTTGAATTTTAACCCCCCAGGGGTTCATGATTTGAACTAGAATCTACACTACCTTAGGATGATTCCATATAAATATCACTAATCATGGCTTTGAAGTACTTGAAAAGAAGATTTTAAATATATTGGTTTCCCAATATATCCCTATGTAAAACTTGGGTCGGCCATTTTGGCCCCGCCCTAGCCCCGGGGGTCATGATTTGAACAAACTTGAATCTACACTACCTCAGGATGATTCCACATGAGTTTCATCTTTCCTAACCCAGTGGTTCTTGAGAAGAATATTTTTAAAGATTTTTCCAATATATTCCTATGTAAAACTTGGGTCGGCCATTTTAGCCCCACCCTTGCCCCGGGGCTCATGATTTGAACAAACTTGAATTTACACTACCTCAGGATGATTCCACATGAGTTTCATCTTTCCTGTTCTAGTGGTTCTCGAGAAGAAGATTTTTAAAGATTTTTCCTATATATTCCTATGTAAAACTTGGGTCGGCCATTTTGGCCCCACCCTTGCCCCGGGGGTCATGATTTGAACAAACTTGAATCTATACTACCTGAGGATGATTCCACATGAGTTTCATCTTTCCTGGCCCAGTGGTTCTGGAGAAGATGATTTTTAAAGATTTTTCCTATATATTCCTATGTAAAACTAGGGTCGGCCATTTTGGACCCACCCATGCCCCGGGGGTCATCATTTGAACAAACTTGAATCTACACTACCTGAGGATGATTCCATATGAGTTTTATCTTTCCTGGCCCAGTGGTTCTGGAGAAGAAGATTTTTAAAGATTTTTCCTATATATTTCTATGTAAAACTTGGGTCGGCCATTTTGGCCCCACCCATGCCCCGGGGGTCATGATTTGAACAAACTTGAATCTACACTACCTCAGGATGATTCCACATGAGTTTCATCTTTCCTGGCCCAGTGGTTCTGGAGAAGAAGATTTTTTAAAAATGCCATTAATTTTTAACAAATTCATGATTATCTCCCCTTGGAAAAGGGCGTGGCCCTTCATTTGAACAAACTTGAACCCCCTTCACCCAAGGATACTTTGTGCCAAGTTTGGTTGAAATTGGCCCAGTGGTTCTTGAGAAGAAGATAAAAATGTGAAAAGTTTACAACGACGACGACGACAACGACGACAACAACAACAACGACAACAACGACGACGACAGACAACGGACAGATTGTGATCAGAAAAGCTCACTTGAGCCTTTGGCTCAGGTGAGCTAAAAAGTTAGAAAATACGCTTTTTTCAATTCGCATCTCCTGACGACAGGAAGTATTGACGACGAACGAAACGTGGCGTCCTGGATAGTATCTATCATGATCTATAACCCCTGAAATTTTCACATTGATATCTTTAACCGATTTTGAGTTTAATAGCGGACAAAATGTCATTTAAAAATCAGGAAATGTCCCGTAACTTGGCACCCGATTAGATTTTTCAAAAAATTGCTCAGATAGATCAAGTTTATGTTACGACTCATCTTTTGTGAAAATTTCATGTAATTCCATCCAGTAGTCTTCGAGAAATCGCGTGAACAAAATTTTGGGAAAAAAAATAATAAAAAGAATAATAAGAAACAGTAGAATCACTATAAGGTCTTCCGTGAAGACGGAAGACCTTAATAACTAAAGCAAAGCTCGTTGCAAAGCAACGAGTAGGTCTTCCGTCCTGTTTGACCGGAAGTAGCTTTCATTTTTAACAAAAATGAGAAATAGCGCCAAAAAATGGGTTGAATCATCTAAAACTGTGTTAATTAATGCAAAAATAAGCCATTTTTTGCTACTTCCGGTTTGACAGGAAGTGACGACGACGGACGGAAAATTAATTTTAATGCTCCCAGAGACATATGTTACCCAAAAACTTCCCAAGCTCGGCAAAAATACGCGTTTTCCGACCACTTCCGGTTTTGCCGTAAGTGACGACGCCGGACGTATTTTGAAGACGCCAAAAGATTAGGCTTAACATTTTGGACAACTTTGCTTCTTTGATGTATTACAAATTCTCGAAACGTTTTGAGATATAAAGAAAAACTTTCGGCCCCTATAGGCCCTTAACTTCAGGGGCCAGCCCCTTTTACAAGATATCATTTGAAAGATCTTGGAATTCTACACTTCTTTTGTTCTCTATGTTGTAACAAAATATTTCCAGATAAAAAGCTATCGTAGAAAAGATGTTAAAAATTTTGAAATTCGCGATAGGTCTATTTTCGGGCCATAGCGAGCGTCGGCGCTTCGTACTTCCGGTAGTTTTGATATACAAAAGGCACTTCTCCAAAGTTTGCTCTAGCATCCCTCAAAAATTCACACTTCTATCTTCAATGGTTTTTGAGAACATTGCCGGACAAAGTGACCCTCTAAAAATGACAAAATCGCAGAAATCTCCGAACCGGAAGTGACGTCATCAAAACAAAAAATATATATATCTAGATTTTTTGATGTTCTATCATTCCTGAAAGTTTCATGAAAATCGATCAAAGCGTTTTCGAGAACTCGCGTGCACAAAATATGTAAGAAAAAAAATAATAAAAACTGTGGAAAAGAAACCTAAGAATAACAGAAAGGTCTTCCGCTGAAGACGGAAGATCTTAACTAGAGCAAAGCTTGTTGCAAAGCAACGAGTGGGTCTTCCGTCCTAGCGATAAGCAAAAGATTAAATGTTTCTGTCTAGATTTTCAACTTTGCTAACATTCTCTTTTTCGATTTGTCTCAAAAACCCTTACTTGAATTCTTTAATTTGGTGTGAGCATGAGGACTAAAGGGTACTCTCTCTAACAGCATTCTTGAAATCGTATCCACAACAGTTTAACTTCCAATATTATGACTTTTGATATCGGATATATCATGTTTGTTGCAATTATGTTTGTGAAACGGGTCATACTACAGAAACATAAGTGTTTTGCTACATTACCATCTTAAAAATGGCTTTAAAATCATTTAATATACAATATAACTAGGTATATAAAATAAACAAATTATATAATAATTCAAAAAATCCAAATGTATTTACAATAATGATGAACAATCTTCATTAGTTGCAATCAGTAAGTAGAACAATACTTTTATAATAAAGGCACAGAAATGTGTTGTGTATGTTTCGAATTTGAAGCTTTCTACTAGCAACTGGTGGTACCTCAAAAGGAGTGTAAAATTCTCTGAAAAGTATATTGTGAACATATTACATATGGCTGTGTATTCTTTTTTAGCGGCTTTGGCGGAATGCAGCAATCACTAAATCAAGTACAAAGCTAAAAGTCTTGTACATAAATATAAATAAGAATATCTACCTAACTTATTCAAAAGTCAATTTCCACCAAATATTGTACAAGCTAAATATAATACATTTACAGCATTAAAGAAACAAATCTCTTTGAAGGTATTGCCCTGCATAAGAACAATTTAAATCCCCTACACTAAGGATGCTCTGTGCCAAGTTTCACTTTGGTTCTGGAAAATAATATTGTGAAATTTTAGACAATGATGATAATTGATAAAATTATGTTTTTAAAACATTTACTTGTTCCTTTAGCTCAGATGGGCTAATAAGTATGCAACAGGCACAGTTTTGTAGTTGACATTGAAATGAAACTGAACATCTCTTCAATCTTGTTTTAGAAAACTACATGTACATGCCCTATGTACTGAATTCCTTGGAATCATACACATGTTTATGCCTTTAATTAGTTGTATGTGCCAAAATAACAATTTTTTTTTACATTATACTGTAAAAAATACACATACATGTATTACAAGATCTTCTATTCCTGCTGAAGACAGAGGATCTATCTTAATCATTAGAATAAGTAAGTCTAAACTTTGAAAGGGAAGACCTTAATAAAGAGGTCAACATGCTACACAAACAAAATATTATTACACATGTATATTTAAAAATAACATTTATTCCTATGTAATTACTGGTACATGTATTTCTGTTACAAAAACTATTTCATTTGAAAAACTGAGAACAATTGATATGTTCATATTTGTGGATTTATCTTGTCAAATCAAAATTTAAAAATGATACACAGTGTGTTTAAGAATTGTCTTCACAAACCAAAACTTGACTTATTTTCACTATGCTGTTTATTCCATGTCACATCCAAACAGATGATCTTCTGGCAAATCATGGTCATGCTTGGTATCAAAATTCAGTATTCAGATGAGTCACACCTATCCAAAAAAAAATAGATTTTTTAATTTTTAATTCTTTTACTAATAAAAAGTGCAATTCATGAGATTATAAATTAGATTATCAAATTGAGAGATAAGATATTGTCACATTTTCTGTGTATAATTTGTAAATTTTAATGTACTCTTTCATCAATTAAAAGAAATTTACACCAATTAAGGCATGCAGTCATTTATGCTATCCCCTAATAAGACAACATACAAGTGCAAAGTAATCATGCACTAGTGGGTTTAAGATAATGTGCTAAAGTATTTATGACAACATACTAGCATGAGGTGACAATGTGCTAGCATGAACGTCAGTGATAATATGCCAGTACACTGAATCCAACATGCAGTGAAGCTAACACTCAACAGATTGTTTAGAGTTGTGTTTGCATGATATTTTGTTTTGTGTTAACACAGCAGCGTGTTGTTTAACTGCATTGGTCAGGAGTGGCAGTCTGTTGAAATTAACATGCTAACACACTGCAACTTCACATCATTGGAACACCATAATTTTAAAACTGGCAAACCAATATCTTATGATTACTAACTGGTAATTGCAACTGTAAATGCTGATTTCATGGTGACAATAATACCGGTAATTCACTGTATATCTGAGAACTGATCAATTATAATAAGGCGTGTCCAGATAGGGCCACTTGCTAAAGCTCAATAGCACTTTCATAAAAGCGTGCCATCTTACCGACACAAAAGACACCATTAGGCTATCACACAGCTCACCATCACAACACTGAAAAACACTTTCGCACTAACACAAATTGGCACCACACGCTGTCACACTCACACACAACACACTGTCACGCTAATACAATTTCACACAACACACTATCAGGCTAACACGAGTTCACACAACACACTATCATGCTAAGGCCACACCAATAAAATTTCTTGTTCTACGGACAACTGACCCCCAAAAATTGGGGCGAGCGAGCGATTTGATAATTATAATATTAATATTTTTGTCAATAAAATTTTCAGGCGAGGAAGAAAAATTATGGAGCGAGCGATTATATTTTTTTAATTTTCCTTTGCATTTCTAGAGTAAATCATAATGAAACCTTGTCAAAGTCCCCTGATCATGTAAGACATTCAATATCCTATATCTGTGCATAAACAAAACAATCATAACAATGCTGTTACTTTGTCTTCTCACTTTAATTACATAATGACTTTACTCCATATGTTAAAAAAACAATTTTAAAAAACGTTCTGATTCCTTTACATGTTAAGAGCATTATATGGACATTTGACACAGGTTTTTTTATTTCATAAAGGAAAAAATTCTGTAAATAAATCTGCTAATGACATAAAAGATTAACTCTCCTATGCATCTCAAACCTTTGATGTTTTCAGGGGTTCATTTTGACCTGTACATGATTTGCTTGTACATTTATGAGATTTATCACTGTTAAAATAAGTGTTTATCTCCATCTTTAACATATATTTCAAAACTGTATTCACAAAATGTGATTAATCAAAACTTATACAATCATATGAAACTAGTCAATTCCAACAGCACTGCTGTTCTGTATTTATGCACAATATCAGAAGCTTAACATGGTCCCAAAATTCACATGATTAAAAAAATCAGACATAATAGAACCATCGACAAGACAAGTATGTCCCATTACTTTTTATCATTTACAATTAATGCCAGCAGTGATAAGTTATTTTTACATATAGTAATTCACAATTTTATAATAAAATATAATTGACAGTGACACAGAGCCCAGAATAACAATGTTTATAAACAAATATGAACTATAATCAAAATTGTTTTTTTTTTCAAGAGTTGACTGATATAGAATTTGAAATAAAGTATCAAGATGTTTAAATATTATTCAAATTATGGGGAGCTACTTCAGCCAAATCAAGGTAGATGGATATTTTGAATTCTTCTGGCTGGTCCAGGACTGCTTGGAATTAGAACATGTAAACAAAGAATCTGTGAAAGAATTGTCTGTGGAAACAATTTTATGGCTTCAATGGAAATATCTGCCTACAGTGTGCATGCACTGTGGTTCAACTGAAGACCTTCATGGATAACAATGTCTGCACTTATTCACTATATAAACAGATAAAAAGTTCTAGTCCAGTTTATCATTCCACTGCAGAAATTTAGAAAAAAAAACTCCACCAAATCTTGCTGGATCTATAGGCTTCAACACTCATCATCCAAAGTAAATAAATCAAGTAGCTAAGCAGTCTCCCTAAAATGAAATAGATGCAGCTTATTAAAAGTGTTTAGTATATACATACTTATTCAGAAGGAAAAAAACGTATATATTATATATATGCATCTTTATCTTATGTAGTCTTAATTTCTTGCACTTACATTTCGGCATATTCCAAAATTTGATTTGTATCCATGGTGGCCCTCTGCCAAAACATAACCAGATCTACTCTACCCGATCTTTGCTGTTCATCACGATGGAGTTATAAAGTTTACTTGTTTCCACGCCGTACCTCTAAAAGCATGCTTTAAAAAGTTGTGCAACTGTGCATCATTAGAGCTAATGACAAATGCGGGTGGTTTCGCACTGATCACCTGTACGCGCCGAGTTTCAACGACAAATACCGTCACATTTGAACAATAGTCAATACATCCCAGTGTCAAGTGTCCTTTCTCGTGCAAATTGATCAATGTCGTCTTGGTTTTTCCCAATATGTAATATTTCCTACTGAATTTCAAACTCAGAAATGCTCGAGTATTTAAAATAAAATGAAAAATGGGGCGGGAAATGGAACGAAAATTTCCGGAAGCGGGAAATTTAAAAATAATATTATTTTTTATGTTTCTCTAAAATACGAGCGCGCGGGTCCATCGAACAAGAAATTTTATTGGTGTGGCCTAACACGAATTCACAAACACGCTGTCTCGCTAATACAAGTTCACACAACACACCGTCTCGCTAACACAAGTTTTACACAACACGCAGTCTCGCTAATACGAGTTCATACAACACACTGTGTAGCTAACACAAGTACACGTAACACATTGTCACGCTTAGATGAATTCACACAACATACTTTCACGCTGACATGAGTTTACACAACACGCAGTCTCACTAACACGCATTTATACAATACGCTGTCACACTAACACGAGTTTACACAATACATTGTCACGCTAACACAAAGTCGCAGAACAGGCTTTCTCACTATTCACTAACACAAGTTCGCACCAAATGCTGTTGCGATAACACACTGTCACCCTAATACCATTTCTCACAACACACTGTCATTCTAATACCATTTCACACAACACACTGTCAGGCTAGCACGAGTTCACACTACACACTGTCACGCTAACACGAATTCTCAAAACAGGCTGTCTCACTATTCACTAACAAAAGTTCGCACCAAACGCTGTTGCGATAACACACTGTCTTCCCAATAACATTTCACACAACACACTGTCATCCTAATACCATTTCACACAACACACTGTCAGGCTAACACGAGTTCACACAACACACTGTCACGCTAACACAAATTCAAAAAACATGCAATATCGCTAACACGAGTTCACATAACACGCAGTCTGGCTAACACGAGTTCACACAATATGCAATCTTGCTAACACGAGTTCACACAAAACACTATCTCTCTAACTCCAGTTCACACGACAAATTTTCAGGATAACAAGTTCACACAACACACTGTCATCACGCTAACACGAATTCACACAACATGCTGTCTCGTTAATAAGAATACACACAACACGCTTTCTCGCTAACATGAGTTTACACAACACGCAGTCTCGCTAACACGAGTTTACACAACATGCAGTCTCACTAACACCAGTTTACACAACACGAAGTCTCGCTAATACGAGTTCAATCAACACTCTGTCTAGCTAACACGAGTTTACACAACACACTGTCACACTTACACTTTATACACGATTTTACACAACACGCTGTCCCGCTAACATGAGTTTACGCAACACATTGTCAAGCTAACAAGAATTCACACAACCCACTGTCAGGCTAACACAATTAAGTTCACAAAACACACTGCCTTGCTAACACAAATTCATACAACACACTGTCTTGCTAACACAAGTTCACACAACACACTCACATTGCTGAGTTTAAAGTAAAGGTCTACCCTAATTTGAAGAGGTTTAAAACTAACATATCTCTATATTAGTAAAACGCTTCAAATTTAAGACAAAAACATTTATGCAGTAATGTTCCTTAACATGCATCTGGCATATAAAATGAATGAGACCTTAAAAACCTCACAGTACATGTTTACTTAGCTAATTAAAGGTCTAAATTGATGCTATTCAACAATATATATATTAACATCTCTAAGTATGTGAATGAGTGAAATTCTCAAATAAATATTATAAATCAAAGTATCAATAAGAAGCTGAACCTTACGTCGCAGGTTCCAATCCCATTGCTAAATGCTTTAGACAGGTTACTCCTATGAGACTGCATAAACCAAGATTCTGTGTCACGGTAGGTGTTAGCACAAAATGGATCTCATACTTCTTAAAGGCAATAAGTGCTGAGTACAAGTCTATATTTGCAGCTAATACCATCCCAAGTGGTGGCACCATGAAATGACTGAAAAATGTATGATTAAGGCAAATAAACTAACATTAAACCATTACAGCAGTCTTATCAAACAAAAATGCAAACTTTCTATTATTTCAATTTTTTTAAACAAATTTCTTTTGCAATTTAACTGAGCAATATTTGTCCTTTTGTGTCAGTAAAGTATGATATTAAATAATTAAGACTTTTTGAGAACATCTATTTATAGCCAGTCCAGACACCAGCACAAATCCCTGCCCATAATGAGAGCTCTTATGATAACACCTTGGCAAAAGAAGATTGTGACTTGCACAATGCTCCACACAATTTTTCCGCAGTATACTTTGGACACACAGTGCTTAGCTTCTTTAACATGTTTAAGCTACATTCAAAATTCATTTCTATTTAATTTGAATTAGCTATCCTTACTCATGTTCACATGGAGCTAATGGGAAGTAATTTAACGAGCAGTGAATTCATTCGAATTAAACATTTGAATAAACTCTCAGTGTGAACATTGAGCATGGATGCATCAAATGTCAAATGCGGCTTGACAAGCACATTCTAATTTATTAAAACTAAATAAGTATCTGCCCTCACCCTTACAGCCACACTGTCAATATATAATTAGTTGAATATATTCTGTAACATTAACAGGTTGGGCACAACCTACCAAATGGTCCTTTATCCCCCGTTTGGTAGAAAATCTACCATATCGGTATCGAATTTTACTGACCAAATGGGGGACTTTTTTATTCTTTTGTAATCTTTATCAAAATAAAACAAAAGCGCATTTATTAAGGCATTGGGGGATTTTAGTAAACATATTCCTCGCACAGTTAACATAAATCGGTCGAATTTTTATGTGTAATTTCTCCGTAACTTTGTAAAAACAGTGCCCATAGTTGTCAGTAACAGCCGAACTTCTTGATCAATCGATCAAAAAATAATCTTTGTTGTATTTTGTTGGATAAAAATTCAATTTCATCTTGTGATTTAATTCTTGATGAGTTAACTTTCAATATCGATTTGGACCTTCGTCAATGTTTATCGCCGTAAAATCCCGTTAAACACGACCTCCTCATGCCTTACCGGTATGGTGCGCACTTCCTGCTATAAAGTTAAGTTTTTCCAGAGTGGAATGTAATGTTTGTTGTCATTTTCCTTTTAGGAAGAAGTTGCAGATTCCTTGCGACCTCATTGGGTTTAATATGCATATAACTGGTGAATTTAATTAATTTGAAAAATAATATTCAATAAAAGATGTACAAAATGACTTTTGCCACTATTCTTGTTTTTTTTTCCCATTTACATCACTTTCAAACAATAGTTGTATCATACTCCAACTGCATTTACTATTTTTATGAAGAACAAAGCCATTGTTTACAAAATAAAACAAAATAAAGGCGAAAAACTATTTTTCTTCAGATTTCCTAGTTGAAAGTTTACACAAATGTGTCGCCGTAGTTAAATTCGACTTTTCGTCAGGTTTAAAATAGATTATCGCTTTGATTGGTTTACACTAATTGATTGGTTGCCCGGATAATCAAAATAGAAAGTGAAGGACATGATTGACAGGTGCAACATCGTTGGAGAATGAGAGAATTTTCTTTGAAAGTAAAACACGGAGAAAACTTGCACTTGTTAACATAAGCTACGTTTTTGTCCAATTTTTGAACGACTATGCGCAAAAATTTGCACATAGAATTTCTGATTTTTTTCACCCAGAACACCGATATCTATATTTTATTCCACATGGTTTAAAATTATGCGCAATTTCACTCCACTCCATGAAATTAAACACAACCAATTTTGTCTCCCAAATGGTCAGTAAAATTTGATACCGATATGGTAGATCGTCTACCAAACGGGGGATAAAGGACCATTTGGTAGGTTGTGCCCAACCTGATTAAGTGCAGTTTGAATTTTAGAGTATGATCACTATGATAGATAGTACTAAGTAGGACTGTTGAAATTACATCCTCAAATTAAAAAAAAATAAAATATAAAGCTGTGGGGATTTACAAGGCAAACAGAGAGCGTCTGAACTGTAAAACAGATAATATATCGGTGTGTCTGTGTATTTCTAATAACATCAATGTACGTCACTGTCATGTAATCAGTAGTGTAAATTTTAAGTAATAAAAATATTCTAACCTTTATTCCAACGGTCCAAGCCAATCATACATTAAAATGTCGCCGTCAGCTCTTTCATCACTCGATACAATTATCACTGGGGAATCCGAAGCAGAGTCAAGAGTGTTCATCCTTGTTAATGTGACAGTCAGAATTTCCTCGTAAACAATTCACACAAGATTCTTAGAATATATGAATCGGGATAATTCTGCTTAGAATGTTCCAGAGAAGTGACAAAGTACTTAGTAGCTCCAGGTTAAATGAGTGTGCATGTCTACAAATGGATTCTTTGTGAGAAAATGTTCAACTTCACAAATCATTCTATTTTCAGTTTGTAAACCATGACAAACATGTGTCCGACGTCGACTCGAAGGGGCACACTAAAAACGGGATATATATCACATTTTGCGTTTTCAGACATCTGCTGCATAAAGTCCATCAAGTTATGAAAAATTCTGGTGTTTAAGAATACATTTTAACTAAAAATTAATGTTTCTTCATTGGTTATTGTAATATTTACGTAAAATTACATGTTTTAAGAAAACCCGGGTCATTAAAACCGGATCCGATCACCCGGGACAAACCTGAAAATTCTGGAATAGTCTACTTATGAAAGAAAACGCTCAATAGATAGTTTTCGATAGGCCTGAATTTAGCGAAAGTTGCCTCCCGTTGGCCGCCATATTGGAGGTTGACTCAGTGATTTTCCCTCTTTGTCTTACCAAGTTTAAGAAAATATAGCAGAAATATTTGGTGGAAAATCTTTATCAAATAATTTTTTTTAAATAAAGGAGGCTTCCAAAAATTTATATACTTCAGAAAAATAATGATTTCTAATTCAAAATAGCAAATAAAAAAATTTTTAATTGGTTGAACAATGAAGGAATATGAGCATTTGGACCTCCAGTATGGCGGCCAAAGGGACGTAACTCTTGGTCAATCGAAAACTATCTATTGATTTGTTGGAAGCTTGTATTTAATTTTTTAAATACATCTTTTATTGAAAGAAAATTTGCAGTTAACCTTCCCTACCACTGGCTTTAATTTAATCTCATACAAGCTATCTTGATCAATTTGGGCAATACAAAATTGGCTTACCTTATTATGTTAATTATCTTTGGAGAAAAAGTTTGGGAGAAAATTGTTGTAATGTAAAAATAATTAAAAGATCGCAGTGACATCTTTAATTGACAATTATACTATAACAAGTTGATTTGATTTTCAGGGACCCTATATATTCCTTCTCTGGAGTGAACTTTTTTTTTTAGTTAAGATTAGATGCATCCAGCAGTTGTCATTCTTCTGTATGTTTCTTATATAAATGTAGGTATGAGGTCTTTATGAATAAATGTTTTGATATATGATCATGTTTTACTTGTCATCTCATCGGACTGGAAAAATTGAATTTAAATTAATAAATAAAAAATGCTCTTGTGAGGAAACCTCCATGTGGTTAGAGCTGAGCAATGTCACAAAGTGATAGCTAACATTCTCTTGTACAAAGAGTTGGTTTTAATTATTTCGGAATTTTCCGGTTTGCCCCGGCTGATCGGATCCGTTTTTAATGCCCCGGCTTTTCTGAAAATGTGCACTTATTGCTTTGATTATGTAAAACTAATTACATTTCATTAATATTATATATAGTGTGAATTATTGGAAAAGTCCATAGTTGTGATGGTTTAATGAGTCGTAATTAAAAAATGCCGTAAAATGTCGTATTGATTTTGCCTACCCATTTTACCAACCTGGAAATGAACAATCACCCAGAAAATCTTAAATATTGCGTATATTTCAGTGATATTAATAGTGAATACAAAAGAATATTAAAAAAAGATAATCTGAAAATTTCAGATTAATTGATGGAGTCTTAGCGGAGATATTTGAAAAACCTCGATCTGCCCCGGCTTTTAATTTGCCCCGGCCCGGGTTTGCCTACCCATTTTACCAACACTCCTAGAGACCTGATATTTACCTGACGTTTTAATTGAATGGTAATATTGAGTATTTTAAATTACTTATGTACAGACTTTTTGACTTCGAGGCATTTGCTATACAAAAATTCAATTGTTTGGAACATTTACAGACAAATTTGAATCAGGTCAAAAAAGTGTTTAGTACATCGCGTCTTTAGTACCTTCCTATTTCCCACAATGCCGCGCGTTGTTTACAAACAAGCGGGAAAAAATCCTCTAAACTAGGTACTATTTATTGTTGTTTACATCATCACATTTATTTTTAAATAAAATAAAATTATTTGAATAAAAAGAAAACAAAGAAACACCGAATCAAAACTATATCTTTTAGATGCATCAACTAAAAATTTGCACATGTATGCAGTAAAGGCTTGGCTGGCTATAGTAGACAACTTGTTCCTGAAAGGTTTCTCACATACATGTACTTGTTTCATATAAAAAACAATTAAATATAGCTGGAAGTTTATTTCTTTTTATATCAAATATCAGCCCCTTTTCATTAATCTAATATGAAAGTTCTCGTAATTACGCCCAACTTTTGTGTTCTATTTCTTACCAAATTATTCTCGGTTCAAAAGTTATTACACAAAAAGTAGCAAAAATTGAAGAAAAAAAAATTACTAAAATTTGCCGTTTTATAGCTTCCAAACTTTAGGAAATCAGCTTATAATTTTATCGTTCTGCACATCTGCAATGTATAGGCTACAAGTTCTCCAACTTTCGTGTAAATATCTTACGTCGTTCTTGAGATTTTTAGTGGAAACGAGACATCAAAATTATCAATTAAAGGGCAATAACTCACAATTTAAGGCATGCATCAAAAAATTGAAAACAGGTTAAATAGGTTTAATTACAAGGTATCTTACCTGAAAGTTTCATTAAAATTAGTCCAAAGGTCTTTGAGAAATCGCCTGTCAAAAATCGAGCGGGAAAAAAATAAAATAATAATAAGAAACAGTAGAATAACAGTAGGGTCTTCCGAAGGAAGCGAAAGACCCTAATAATAACTAGAAACGATCTCGTTGCGACCAACGAGAGGTCTTCCGTCCGATTCAAGAAAAAAAACCCTAAAATCGAGCTGAAAAAGTGATAAAAAAAATTGGTCAAAAAAAGGATTGAACCCATGTTACCAGCGTGAAAATTCAACGTGCTTTTTTCCTCTTTATTCCAAACGCGCTTAAATAATGCTGTTGAGTCCACAGCTCTAAATGTACTTGTATATATACTTCTTCAACAATACACCTGTCTAAGAACTACGACCCCCTTTCAATTTGCTTCCGAACCCATGTGCAGGCCATTCACAATTTCCCACATAACGCCACGAGTAAGTCGTGGCGCTTTTTTTCTTTCGCTATTGGGAGTTCTGCTCTAAATGTACTTGTCTATACTTTTGCAACAGTTCACCTGTCTAAAAATTATAGAAGGCACCAAACGCCACGACTAAATCTTCGCGCCTTTTCTTTGGACTGATCTATTACATGTATATAGGTGTGAAGTGACTATAATTTTAAACTTTTTTTTATTTGTCGTTTATCCCCAAAGTGAACTTTGCCGATTAGTTACACTTTCACAAAAAGGTTGAAATGGTTCGCCGAAAAACATGATTCACCCTACGTCAATGTATCAGGTACCATTTATGTTCAATAACTTGAGTTAGATTATTGAGAATGTTAATATAAACTCCTTTAGACGATCTTATTTAAAAAGGGTTTTCTTATTTCTGTCTTTTGTATTAGTTTAATATGACACAAGTGTGCATGGGAAACACAGTGGTTACGTTTCTTGAAAAACTAATTAATTTTGAATACTACTCTAAATATATTTGTGTATATTGTACAAAACCTGCAAAACCTGTCTAAGAATCATAAAAGGCGGGCCACTATTCATAATCTCGCGCCAAACACCACGAGTAAATATTCGTGCCTTTCCTTTGGACTGATCTATCAAATAGGTGTGATAGCTTCAATGAAATCAAATATTTAATAAAACAACTTCTTATCGCCTTTATTTTATTTCGACATTAAGAAAGTATATTTAAAACATTGTACACACGTATCTAGCCCAGTTACACTAAAGCAGTGAAACGGAAATTCAGTTTTAAGAATGACACTGAATTGCAGCGTACTTCTACGTGAAAGTCCAAGTAGTTTTTGTACATTTCATGTATCCTTATGTCAGAATGATTTAATCAACCGCTCAGCTGCCTCCATAAACCCCGACCCGCGAAATGGCGGAGTTGACAGAGACAGCCGCCATCTTGGTCCCGCTTCAGATTTTCAAATATTAATATCTAGAGTTCTGATTAACCAATATCAAAACAACTTATATAGTTAACATGAATCAAATGGTCTCTATTACCATTCCAAAAATCAATAAAAAATATTACAAAACAAAAAAGATAGAAAATACGATTTTCTTAATTCGCTTGTCGTAACGATCGGAAGTATTGACGACGAACGAAAGGTCGCGTCCTGGAAGGGGAATATCTTGATCCATAATCCCTGAAAGTTTCACATTGATATCTTTTACCGTTCTTGAGATGAATCGCGGACAAAATGTCATTTTAAATCAGGAAATGTCCCGTAACTTGGCACCAAAAGGGAATTTCCAAAAAATCGCTCAGATAGATCAAGTTCATGTTATGACACATCTTTTCTGAAAAATTCACGTCATTCTATCCAGTAGTCTTCGAGAAATCGCGTGCACAAAATTAGAAAGTCAAAATAATAATAATAATAAAAGGTCTTCCGTGAAGACGTAAGACCTTAACTAGTGCTAATTGTAACGGGGACCGTTACAGATGTTCCCCAAACGCTCCCCAACTCCTTTTTGGTGCCATATTCCCTGAAATCTCTATAAAATAAGAAATACTTATCAGAGCAATGGGACAATTCTGACTCATTACAGTTGTATATGGATGCAAGTAACATTGGTTTCTGTGGTTATTTACAAAATCAGTATTTTAGTGGTATATGGCCTAAAACCTGGAAAACCTATCATATTACAATAAAAAGAGTTATTTTCCATTGTACTTGCAGTTCAGCTTTGGGCAGATCAGTTAGAAAATTGATGTATTATTATTATTTTTTTTTCGTGGATAATGATGCTGTTGTGCACATCATATACAAACAAACGTAAAAAAAGTCAAGCATGGTTCTTGTTTGTCGTTTAGTAGTGCAATATTTAAAACACAATATTTTATTTCAAGGAAGACGTACCGGGTTTAGATAATGTTTTAGCTGATCATCTTTCTCGCCAGCAGATTCCACAGTCCCTACAAAAATT